AGCTCTGCAGGTGCCGCCGGTCTGTAGCACATGTGTTGAGCTCAGAGCCTGAAGACACTCATAGCTCTGCAGGTGCCGCCGGTCTGTAGCACAAGGCATGTGTTGAGCTCAGAGCCTGAAGACACTCGGCTTGACACTGCTCCCAAGGAGGGTGTTGGCTGCCTCCAGGCACTTGTCCAGCTGGGATGCTGCAATCAGGGAGAGACAGGGGCACTAGGGGAGTCAGGCAGGAGGCAGAGCCCATAGATGGAAAGGACAAAGGGGATACAGGACTCCTTCATCTGCCCCAGGAATTTGTGGACCTGTGAAGGGGTGAGGCAGGTCCCGCTGGAGAGAGAAGGGGGGATCAGCAGGAAAAGGACCCTCAAGACTCACCAGCTCGACTGCACAGCCAGGTCACAGCCTTGGCCTCCAGCAGCTCACAGAGGTCTTGGTAACACTTGCCATGTCTGTGCAGCCAGGTCACGGCCAGCACTGTGGCCCAGATGCTTGGCTCCATGACCTGTAGGAGAACAATGACTCAGAGCAGCAAGCAGTGCTGAGCATCCTCCTTGCCCCCTCACTGCTTCCCACCCCTTTCCTTTGTGGCTTCTGGTTTCTGATCCCTTCATTCCTCTCTGGCTGCCCTTGGGATGCCAGCGTTGCCACCAGCCAAGGGGTTCCCATTGCCCCAGGATGACACGCTGCCACCATAAGAGGTTCTCCACTTACCTCACCAGGCATCTTTCCCTTGATTTCAGCCTCATCGACTTCCAGCACAGAGGCCAGTCCTGAGCTGAGAGCCCAGGAGCCATCTACATTCTGCAGTGCCACCAGCTCCTGGCACTCAGCAATGGCTTTGGTAAACCGAAGCCCCAAAACTGGAGAGCACAAAACAAATTCCATGGGATCCACATGGTTGAGAGAAGAAATAGGTGGCGGTGGTGGTTTACATACTGTGGGAGAAGATGTGAACAGGAGGGTTGGGAGAATCACAGGAAGCTGGCCCCTCTCTACTCCCCTGTGCAATGCCTCAGAACATGATCTCTGCTCTTCTTCGGGTAGCCGCCTGCAGTCAAAGCTCCTTGCTGCATGTCCCCAAAGCAGCCTCATCCGCAGCCCTTTCTGGACACCCCTAACTCACCCCCAACTTTGACCATTGGCTCTTCTCCTGGTATCCCTGCCCAGCCATGTCCTAAGACCCCTCTTGATAGCCCTCCAACACATTATCCAAATGTGTATTTATAATCCAGCACCGTCCCTGTCCCCTCCCTGGGTGTCCCTGAGCTGGGTCTCATATTGGCTGAAGGAATTTCAGGTTTAAGGATAACTAAGAGAAGGGTTAAAGGCAAAATTCATTGATTTCCACACCATGGGCAAGACACGGCAGCATAACCCTCCTGTAAGACATTAGATTATCTCATACCTTTTGGGCAAGTGCCCCGCTGGGGCAAGGCAGCAATGGCACGGGTGAGTTGACGGAGGGCAAGCCATGATGCACGCACTGCTGTCAGCCAGCCAGGTGGGACCCAGGTGCTCATGGGATAGCAGGAAGAGACTTTCCCGGAGCCACGAAGCTCAACGATCTGGCAGGGCATGAGTGACTGGCGGGGTGGCAACAGTACTAGGGGCCCTTCGAGGGCAAACAGGGAAAGGGGCCGAATTAAGCCCATGGTAAAGAAGCACCTGGTGGTGATGGGGCCTGCCCCGTGAGACTGGGGGTGCCCTGTGACTGGGGTTCCAGCTCCAGTGGAATGAGAACATCCCATGGAGCTGCCTCACCAGCTCTTTCCCACATGTGTCTTTCCTTACCTCGGTACCAGGTGACCCTCTGTGATGTGCGAACCCCCACATAGCTGGTAAAGGGGCAGATGATCCCTGAAGTGAGGCTGATCTCAACTGCACGATGCCTTGGTTCATCCCCTGACCCACTCGCAGCCTCTGGCAACAACCACTTCAGCAAGCATCTCGCGGCCAGACGATGCCCAGCCAGCCTGGGGACAGAGCGGGGAGAGGCCTGACCACCTGGGTGGTCTCCGTGCTGGGGAAAGGTCAACAGAGAGAGAGGACACCTGGGCTCTCTCCCTTCAGGGCTGAGGATGGACAGAGGGAAAACCTGGACACCTGGGTCCTCATCTGTCTGGAGGGAAGTGATGCCCAGGTTCCTGGGCCCTATCCCTGTGAGGTCAAAGCAGGGAAGGGGGGCATGCTTGGACGCTTGGGTTCTCTGCCGGTTTTGGATTGTGCGTGGAAGGTGAGAATGCATAAGCTGTCTGGGCCCTCTCTCAGCAGGAGTCCATGTTAGAGATGAGGGGGATGCATGCGTCTTCCCTTAGGACAGGCTCTCACCGGCCATCTCCCTGTGGGCACAGTGGGAATTCAATGGTGTGAGTGACATCCTGGCCGTCCAGGCTGTACTGCAAGGTCATGACCCCCTTGGCCACTGTCGCATCCTGGGAACACATGGGAAGCTACTAGAGGTTACTGGGGACACAAGATGGTTACTGGGGGACATTGGGAAGTTACTGAAGGATTACTGGTGGTTACTGGGAGGCTATTGGGAGGTAACTGGGGGTGACTGTAGTCCCAGCTCTCACCTGTGCCTGTCCGTGGATCTGGGCATAGAGGAGGCTGTGTTGACCCTGAAAGATGAACTGAGGGGTGCCCCCCAGCACCTCAACCTCCAGGCCATGGGGCAGGGCCCAGCTCAGAGAGACTCCTTCAGCCACTGGCTTGAGGGCCTGCTTCAGGCACTGCAGCACCTGGGGACAGAGGGCAGGACACCACAGTTCGCAGCTCCACCGGGGTTCAGCCCATGGCCCCCGGTGTCGGGGTTCCCTGGGGGACAGTGGAACGTGTGGGGTAGCCTGCACCATCTGGGTTCCCTGGGCACAATCAGGTCTGTGGGTTACAGCGGGGCAGAAGCCCGGGCACCTGGGTTCTCAGGGGGATGGCGTGGTGTGGTAGAGTCAGGGGAAGCCTGCGTGCCTGGGTTCCTGGGGCAGCTGGGTCTCGACTACTGTGTGTGAGCAGTCCAGGTGCTGGGGTACTTGGAAGTCAGTGTGTCTGTGGAATAGCATGGGACCTGCCAGGGCTCCTGGGTTCTTACCACAACTGTCATACTGTTGTCAGAGGAGATGTAGGTAGCTTCACCTCCTGTTTCCCTGGCCAGGGCTGTAGCCAGGGCAGCGCTGTCCTTAGAGAAGCAGAAGGAGAAACACCTATGAGGGAAGCAGGGAAAGGTGTCAGAAATGAGAGCCAGAGGTGCGTGCGAGGATGCCGGGTTGGAGCTGGAGAACACAAGCTGGAGTTAAAGCTGGGGGAAGAAATCTGGGATGCAGAACAAGGGGGCAGGAGGAAGAGCAAGGAGTAAGGGACTGGGGTTGGAGCTGCGGTTAGATAGGGAGCTGGCAGAGGAAAGCTGGGACTTGGGGCAGAGCTGGGGACAGTCTCATGGGGTTGGGGAAGAGCTTGGGGGTACATCAGGGTGTACAAGCCCTGTGCCTCACTCTGTGAAGGGTGCCTTGTCTGTGGGAGTAGTAAGCAAAGACTCCCACATGGGGACTTGGCACAGGAGAGCTGTGCAGGATGGGAAGGGTCTTTGGGTCACTGGAGGGGCCCAAGGATTAGGACAGGCACTGCTGAACAGGGGCCCTCATCAGGGATGGAAATGACTGGACAATCAAAGGGTGACCATTACCGGTGACTGTTGCGGTGACGGCAGACCTCAGCTGCGATGGCTTCCTCGTCAGGGGGTAGCCCAGCCATGAAGATGAAGAGCTGGGAGACAGGGGACATGAGTGGTGGGGCCCTGCACAGAGACCCCAAAATGGGGAATAGAGAGGGGGGCCCAGGAGAGAGGCCCCCTGCAGAGAGACTACCCCAGGGAGAGATATTCACTCAGGAACAGAAACTCCCGAAGATGTAGACCCACTTCTCCATTCCCCCACTCCCCACAGTATCCTTTCTGTTCCCTTGTGACCACCGCATACTTTGGGTGGCACCTTCCACCCACACTCCCATGTCCTCTCTCTCTTCCTGGGACACCTCTCCCTCCACCCTCCATGCCCCTGCACCCAGACCTGGCGCGTATGCCCGTGGGGGCAGGGGGTATTGTAGACTGAGCGCAGGGTTCCCAGCAGATTGGTGTCACCCAGACTGGAGCCGGTGGAGGAGATGCGCCGCATGGCCTCGGTCAGGTTGTCCTGAGTGTATTCAACACTTTGCCTGCAGGGAGCACAGCATGTTTGGAGAGCACATTGCTCTATGCTGGCCCTAGTGCTCCCCGAGATCCTGCCCCATAGCACTCCCCACAGCTATGCCCTAGGGTCCTCTGCAAGTCCCTGCCCCATAGTAGTTCTTGAAGAGACCTGGCTTCAGAGTTCCTACAAGACTCTGCTCAACAGAACCCCAGGAAGTGCTGTCCCATAATGCCACAATGATCCCATCCCCAGAACCCAGCCTTGCCCTACAGTGACCAGTCGTGCCCTCCAGCACCCAATCTTGCCCTGTAACAACCAGCCGATTTCAGAGCATGCACACCTGCCCTCCAGCATCTAACCCTGCCCCATAGTACCCATTCCAGCTGTGCAGCACCCGGTCACGCCCCACAGTATCCAGCCCTACCCACCAGCACCTAATCCAGCCCCATAGCACCCAGCCTGCCCCATATTTGCTCACGGGTAGATGCCCACAGAGGTTTCTCCATAGCAGTAGATGTTGAAGTAGCAGCCTAGGGGCAGGCTTTTGAGAAGGAAGAGCAGGGAGTCCTGTGGAAAGACACAGCAGGCAGGTCTTGGGAGGCACCAGTGGGGGGTACAGATGCCTTAGCCCATAGTCTGGTCCTCCTAAAGCCTCTGGACTCCCCTGGATGACCCGAGCTAGTGCCCGGAATTCCCTGGGCAGTCCCCCTCCTGAGAGATTTCAGGACCATTTCAGGCCCCAACAGTCCTCTCTCACATCTCTGTCCCTCTGTACATGCCTGCCCTGGCCCATTCCCCCCTCAACCTGCTCCTCCACCCCATCCTGGTCCCTGCTCTGCGGGGGTACCTGTCCATGCTCAAGAAAGGTGGTGTCCAGGAGGAAGATGAACTCTCCGGACTGGCGCTGCCCAGGCACTGCCTCAGGGATGCTGGGTGCCAGTGTCACCAGCACCATGGGGTCACCAAGCAGGGAGCCTAGAGGAGGTATGGGGTGGGATGAAGGCCAGATAGGGACCCCTCTCCTCCTCCTGGTTCTGATTCTCATTGTGTTTTCAGCTTCCACCATCCTAGAGCCCATAACACCCCACCGTGGCACCTCAATACCCTGCTGTACTGTCCACCCATTGCACAGCCCAGTGCCCCATGTATTCCAAACCAGTGCCGCCAGTAGAGCTACCCAGTGAGCCCTAACACAGAACTTCCTGGATGCATGCTGCTTATATCTATACCTCACCAGTGTCCCCAACACCCCACCCTGGCGCCCCAGGACCCAAACTATCCCATCTGAATGCCTCCCATTCCCATCCCAGTGTCCAGTGATATCTCACCCCCCCCAGAATTCTCCAGTCCTCCCCAGAGGCCCCCATGCCTCCTGCAACCCAGACGTGCGTCCATCTTCCCTCCCCAGCTGCACTCACCTGGAGGGGCCCCAGGGTCTCCCTTCTCCACCACAGCACTGACTGCAGTGGGGTCTCCAAAATACACCAGCAGCTCCAAATCATGATGCTTTGGGGGGCTGCCAACCAGTGAGACCTGGAGAAGGGGTGCCTGGTCACACACAGGAGGAGGGCACCAGACCAAACATTTGGCCAGGAGCACAGGCACTGACCCTAGTCTGTCCCTCTTTTCCCAGTGATGACACATGTCCCCAGCTCCCCCCGGGATCCTGATGCTCAGGAGGGCATACCTGTGCAGTGCTGCAGTCCTGGGCAGTGTAGATCAAAGGGGTGAGAGTGAAGTTGGCCTGGACATTGGCCACTCCACGGGGTGACTGCAGGCTGGCGGTGAGCAGCAGTCTGTAGGGCAGCTTGCTAGTGACACAATTCGAGGCTGCAAGGAGAAACATGGCACTGGGGAGGGCAAAGACTGTCCCTGCAGGAGTAGGGGGTGCGGGGGGGCAGGATTCGGCATCCATATATAGGACATAGGGAGAGAATTGGGGTTGTCAATGAGACATATGGAGGGGTCCATGAGTCTATTAGTGGGAAATGTGTGCGGGAGGTGTGGATCCCCTCATGGGGCACAGGGAAGAATACGTGGATCTGTCCAGGGGCTGTATGGGGGAAAAATGTGTGTTCCCCTGTGGGTGCAAAGGGAAGTTGCATCGGGTCTGTTCATAAAGTACGCGGGGAGTCTGTGGCCCTTCTGTGGGGTGTGTGACTGGGAGGCCAGTTCTTCATGGGGTCACTCACCGTAGAGTTTTGTGTAGGGATGCAGTGTGGGTGGCAGCACGAAATGGGCTGCTCCATCTGGCTCCCGTGGCAGCTCTTGGACATAGCGCAAGGTCACAGCCACCTCCCTGCCAGGGGACAGGGTGCCCAGGAAGCAGGCAAACACCTCGCCTGCATACTCAGACTGATCCTGAAGGTATTCCAGATTCTCCCAGCCCCCTGTATCCCTGTGCAGCTGCTGGGCCTGGGTGGGAAGGGGAGGGACAGAAAGCTGATCACCAGGCAAGACATGGGCTGCTCATCCCATGCCTCTGAGGTGCTTCACCCATTCGTCCCTGGATGCTGGTACCTCATCCCGCAGCGTGGCCTGGACCTTGGCATCCTCGCTGCGGGCCTGGAAGGAGTAGATGGTGATGTGGGGGCTCAGGGGGAAGACGAAGAGGATTTCCGTGGAGATCTGACTCTTGTTCTGGTAGATGAGTTCGGAGGCCACGTCAGCTACATAATCCTGGACAGCAACATCCACCACAGCACTACACAGAGGCATTGTGTGCAGGGGTATGCGGAGCCACTTCCCCAGCAAAAAGGATCCTGTTGCTGTTGGGAGAGATGCAACCTGTCCATCAGCACACATGAATGACACAAGGAAGTGGTTGGGGCTGCTTCCAGTTTGTGGCTGTTCTCACCCTGGAAACCAAGACTAGGTGACCAACATTACTGAGGGTCTAGTGTGAGCCTGCCACAGAACAGTGTTTGACCCCCACCCCCCAGATTCCCTTTCCCCCCATACCTCTGTTCCCCACCCATTTCCTGTAGAGCTCTTGACCATTCCTGTCCTTGTTTCACTCCGGGAAGATCCAGTGCAGATATTTCCCCCTACAGCTGCCTACCCTCCTCCTTTCTTTGTCCCCCTTTGGGAGCATTCCCCATACCCCAAACATCCCTCAGCTGTCTGATCCCCAGCTCACTGTCTTGGGTGTAGGATTTTCCTAGAAGTCCAAAGCTCTGACGCCACATTTCTGGAGACCTGCAGACAAGAAGTGTCTCCTGTAAGAGGAGAGATCCACAGAAACCACCAGGCAGCCCCTATTTGGTGAAGATTCCTTGCCATTTCCCCAGTCCTACACGCATAGCTGGAAGCCCCAACCCTCCATGTACAGCCAGAGCAAACCCAGGGATTCAGAAATCCCTGTTCATGAGCACTGGGATGTCACCAGGAGTATCTCTGCATTAAGGAGGTCTGCACCCACCCCCACCATGGGAGAATCTTGAAGAGAACTGAGGGATAACAAGAGGAGATGGAGAGACGAAGCTGTGAAAGCAAGAGTGGATGGATGGATGGA